GCCCGACGTCGGCCGGCGGCCGGGCAGTGGCAGGTCATGGCCGGCAGCGGCCGGCAGCCCATCATCGAGAGGCCGGGCCGCGCCGTGATCGGCTGTACCACTTGGCCGCCGCGGCCACTGCCATCTCAGCGGCGCTGTTGTGAAGGTGCCGACTCTGGGCCGGCCGCCGGCTCGCTTGTGTGTATTTACCCCACCTCCGGGCTGGGAATACCGGCCTACAAGCGCCGGTGGCGCGGAGCGGGCTGACCGGCGCAGGGCCGGCTGGGACGCGGTGGCGCTATTCGCAGCCGAAGGGCGACCGCCGGCGGCGTGCGCGGCGCCCAGCGGGCGTCAGCGCCACTGCCGCCGCCAACCCGTTCAGGCGTCAGGCATCAGGCGCAGGCGGCCTGTTTATGAGACAGCCACTCAGCTCGCTCATTGGCAAGATCGGCCGGACCGGCGGCCAAGGTCGGAACGGGTCATGAACGTGACGGGCGGCCGGGCCAATGGCACGGAATGGGCCTCGAGCATGCGGCCGCTGACAGCGGCGGACGGCATGGGAACGGCTGGTGCTGTCCGACCCCGCTGTAGGGAGAGGGGCGGCGACTACGAGTCGGCGGCCCGAGGGCCACCCTCACAGACTGGCTCTCAGCCATACCCGAACTGGTCTACCTCAACGGCTTATGAGGGTGGTCAGCTCCAACATGTTCGTTCCGTCCCCACACACCGCCGGGATGGACTTTTCCAACAAACACGACTCAGTGTCTGATGTCCATACATTTGATAGGCGAGGGCAATACAACAGGTTCCCTAGCAAACTCTAAAATGCATGCAAGGTATGCGGACAAGTGACAGCCATGCCATGGCATCAATCAGGTGGTGGATAAAAATGAGCCACGATATTATCGCACAGATCCATTTCATTGTTGACAAAAATAAAATGGATAGAAACCGCTGTGTATACGATAATTCACCCCGTTCATTGTCAAATGTCAATGAATACGTTCACAGCCTTTGCATCCACCAATATGCCACCGTCCAGCCCACAGGCGGGAGTTATGCCTCGTACGCACCAGACGGTACAAATATCGTCTCCAGATCAAGTGGTGGCAAACGACGGCAGACTAAACTGCAGTCCTTCCGTCTGAACTCGCGCCCTCCACGCGTTTGGATTCGGACAGCTCGGGCAGCGGCCTGGCCTCGGTCCGTCCTCAGAAATGTCCCACCCTCTGCGTGTCTGGACAGCCCGGGCAGCGGCCTGGTCTCGGTCCGTCCTCAGGAGTGCCCCACCCTCTGCGTGTCTGGACAGCCCGGGCAGCGGCCTGGTCTCGGTCCGTCCTCGGGAGTGCCCCACCCTCTGCGTGTCTGGACAGCCCGGGCAGCGGCCTGGTCTCGGTCCGTCCCCGGAGTGCCGCGTCCCAGCTCCCCAGTCGATGACAGCCGGACGCCGCACCGTCGACGCCGTCACAACGGCACACCATTTGGCACGGCCGCAGTACAAACAGCGCACTGGCGGGGCGGGGGCGGGGGCGGGGGCGGGGGCGGGGGCCGGGCGGCTGCGTGACATGAGCCGCCAGATATCAGGCCGTTCGTGAGGGGAGACGGCCGCCGCCGCCGCCGCTTGACATGCGCCGACACGGCGGCCGCTGCGCAGCTCATTATGCATGCCGAGGTCGTCGCCAGGGCGGAGGCTCGCGAGCGGGGAGTGCTGGTGGTCTCAGTGAAGCGAGCAAGTCAAGGAAAGAGTCTGGATCAAAGACTGGTGGTCTCAGTGGAGCGAACCGGTCGAGGAAGGAGTCTGAGTCAACGACAGGTGGTCTCAGTGGAGCGGACCGGTCAAGGAAAGAGGCTGGATTAAAGACAGGTGGTCTCAGTGGAGCGAACCGGTCGAGGGAAGAGTCTGAGTCAACGACAGGTGGTATCAGTTGAGCGAACCGGTCAAGGAAAGAGCCTGGATTAAAGACAGGTGGTCTCAGTGGAGCGAACCGGTCGAGGGAAGAGTCTGGATGAGACAGGTGGTCTCAGTGGAGCGAACCAGTCGAGTAGTCTGGATCGACGACAGGTGGTCTCAGTGGAGCGGACCGGTCGCGGAGAGAATCTAGATAAAAGACAAAGACTCAGCGTACAGCTTTGAGGGGACGATAAAGAGATAATAGTAGCAGGGGCGTCCGCGCAATCTCGTATAGCACCATTCAAGTTCAGTGCCTATTTCGGTCGCTTGTGCAGGCAAAAGCAGGATAAAATGGCTCAGCTCATTCCAAATGACTGGGCGCCCCACGAACCAGACCGTAGAAACATCGGGACGGGCAACGGCAGATTGCAAGGATTTCCGCGTACAACATACATCGTAGCGGAACTGACCCGCGGAAAAAACTATTGGCAACCATAAAAAAACGGGGGACATTGGGCTCACGCCAGGCACCACATCCTCCCCACCCATCTGAGCAGAATCAGTTCGGATGCCCAGTTTTGCTTCCTGTGGCGGAAACAGAAGTGCGCGGCATAGATGGCGGCACTGGTTTGGGTAGAAGAGCGTCGCTTCAATCGCTCACAGGCGCCACACCGCGGTACTTGGCTTTCGGCACATGCATTAAAACGGAAGCAATGTGGTAGGGCCAAGTTAACAACACGAACTTGGAGACCTTGAATAACTGCAATCAGAACGTAAGAATTAACGCGATGATTCCCCTACACACAAGTTCGGCGACGAGCCCAGGTGATCGCAGTTGCGACACTGGTGACATCTATGGGCAGGTAACGATATTACAGGTTTTCATATCCAGTGTTCGTCTTAGAAAAGCCACCTACAATCGCTTAATATCAACAATTTCATAAAGTTGCGAGCTATCAGTAAATCCCCACATGTAAGCCAGTATCTCAAACGTAGACCACCGCGCATAAAAATGAGTCGAGCTCCAGCCGATCAGAATCGAACAGGCACGGAAAGACCAAAGCCAGCAGCCGTGCCTAGGTGGCGACGCGAACCACGCGAGCCAACGGGCGTGCTTCAGGTAGCATAGGCCAGCTTACACGCTGTATTCGTTATGCATATACTGCTCATAGAAACCATGTGGTCCCACGATCTCTAAAAAGGAGAAGCAACATGGAGTACTGGGGACATGAATTCATCACCAGAAAGCTGCCATATGTACACCCGAAACCCAATAAACGCCCTTCACCTCATTCTGTTCCATCCCATCCGCCTGCCTCGCCAACCGAACAGCCAGAGGGACGAGACCGACGGCCGACAGCCGAGGGATATGGTCCTCACATGTGCAAGCCTGCCTCTGGCCACAGCCTCCTACCAGGTGACATTTATCTAAATGCAAACAAAGTGCCTCTGGGTGCCCCAGTATCCAAGATAATGCATGCAACGCACCCACCCAGCCCGTGGGGAACAGTCAGGATAGGGGGAGGGGGACTGCATGCAGGCAGCTGATTGGCACAAAATGTGAGATGTACCTGACAGAGTGATACATTTTCTAGCTGGTGTCTTCTGGTGCTCAGGCAGTCACTCAGCATATTATATAGTTTTATTTCATTAGTATCAATGAAAACAAAACCACAGATACAAAGGCGAGGTGAGATCATCACTGAGCATAGCAAATGGATACATGACCACTTATCTTGGGCTGGAGAAAGGATGTTGTTCTTAATATTGTTAATATTTATAGTGACATCATCATATGATTGAATCAGTACAAAGCTGGTAATTTGGCACATGCTTGCAGATATTAATGGTAAATGACTGGTGCAGCCTGAGACAATTGTATTGTAATAGAATGAGTAGGCTGGATGTACTGTATCATGGCATAAGCACTACACAAGCATCCATATCACCATGCTATATTTAAGCATGACTTACCAAGGTCTTCCATAAGTGCTTCTTGCAGCTGGTTTGCTCTGTGTGGTTTAGATTCCACTCAAAATTTCTTCTAAGGTTTCAGTGAATTCACCGCAGCATGAACTAGAATGAAGCATACAAATAGATAACAAAAAGCATAACATCACCAGGCATGCAAACAGTTTAATATATGACTTTGCTAGGCAGGTACCTAACATTCCTAGGCATAAAGAGACAAAACACTGCAGCATGCAGCACCAGAGGAATATCAGTGTACATCACTGTCAGTATAGGAACATCATACAATCCACATTTCAACTGTCAGCAAAGCTTCAAATATCATGATGATGGTTGGGGCTTTAATATTACTATTCCAACAATTGAGTGGTAGTACATCTGTAAGTGCCAAAAACACAGCCATGGTGATCACCATGATATGGACTTCAAAGCTATGCTTATTCAAAGCTACTGAGGCAAACAAGACATGAACAGGCATCAGTTCGATGACTGGGGTGTACCTATGGGCAATGAAGTTTTACAGTGCAAGGAAACATCTGGTTTTTACCAGATCTGAGCATTCAGCATAGAACATAAAGCGAAGGTGTATTACACCATAGCATACAATATAAACGGTTCAATCATGACTGAAGTGTCTAAGAAAACAAAAGGCCGTACGACCAATTCAGTTCACCTACCTGGCAAACTTTATCGGGTTTTAGGAGCATTCTCCAACAGCAACAGTTCCCCATCCATGTATCGATGCAAATATCGACGTCATTTCCAGCAGCACGAAACCAGTCCACATACCACTCCTCAGGCGTTCCTCAAACCAACTCAACTTAGCACCGACCTGTCATCGTTATATTCTTTATTGCCGGTTTCCATGGCTGGGGTAACCACGCATGCGATGCGGCTGAAGGCTGAAGTACTTTACAGCGGCTTGTGCTATCTTTATGAGTATGTACAGATTTGTTATTCAAATTTAGATGTTCATTACCAAACGTATTTATTTGCGTAATGCGAGCTATTCTTGTGGTCTGTATACAGCCCTTTCCTCCAAAAAGTCATTTTAATTCTGGTACTTGGTTACTCCCACCCACTTCAAGTTGTTGTTCAACTGCTTTATGTCTTTTGAGTCATTTATGGCATGTATGTTACATTTGAAGCAAAACTCAAACTAGCAATCCAGGTTTCCAACGGCGGAGACGCGTGCGTTTGTCCGCGGTTGCCGGCTCCGCGTGCGTGTGGTGGAGGTCCTGGAGTAATGTGATGATAGATCACTAAGGTTCCGTCCGGATTTCGTTGACTGTGTAAAAGGTAAGCTGTGAGTAGTCGGTGTAAAAACATGTTTGGAATGATCGTTTGATGACCAGCATTGCCCTGCCACTTTGCCTGTCAATAAACTTTTGGATTGCCTCCCAGCTCCATGTGGCGAGTCGTATGTATTTTGTATAGATATTATTTAAGACACTCTCAAATTGTTGTGGAAACATACACACAATTTGCCATTTCATTGATTTACATTTTTTTTTCCTTCCACTGTTCAGAAACCATAAATGCGTTCACAAGGGCATGCCATGGATTTCTGGCAGCCATGACTTGACATATGCTTTAAGATAGGTGTGAATTTGAGATATAGCAGGGCAGAAAATGTGCCTTTGTCATAACTGGAACTTTACTTTTGGTCTTAAAAAAACACTTCCTCTTGTAGAAGAAAATAAAAACCTTAAGTATTTTATTTGCAATATGCAGCAAACACAATCAGCTAGCATTAGCAGAATTGCACCCAATCCTTTAATCATAACAGGCCATTGATGCTAACATGCACTTCAAAAAATTATAGATACCAAATGACATGTTAAGCACCAAATCAATGAACGGTGGGCTTGCTACAACCAATATTACAGCATGTCTGATGGGCATGCTTTAGTAGTAGCCTGTTCAAGTAATGCACTTCTCACATCATGCTGATTTTCAAGACCTGAGTGCAACAAATGCTCTGCTCACATACTATAGCAGCTTTCTTTGGGAAAGGAGTCAAGCATTGAAAAACAAAGACACTAAACCAATTCCATAGCATGGAAATATTGACATGTGCTTATTGGTGCAGTGCGCCTCAGACACCGGTCCAGGCAATGCAATTCCAGATGATTAGATGTAATCACATCATGCAAGAATATCTGTTGAAGCTGTAGGTCTCACAAATGAACTCAATTCTTATGACTCAGATGCTGGTGTGAGAGATGGTACAAATGTGGCACAGTTGCACCCTCTTAGGGTAGAGCAATTTTCTGATAGATAGAGCACTTAAGGTAGAGCACTGTGATATTTTCTGGTTTGTGGGACCTAAATATTCCTCTCACACCCAAATGGATGTTCTTGAGACATCCTTTGTGAACATTGAACTTCATAAGATGAGTGCAATATAGAAAACAAAACACAGAACCAAATCCCAATTTCCTATTACAGTGCATGTGTTTATGGTGGCAGTTGACCCAGACACTTTTCCAGATGATTCAGATTTAGATTATTAGGTATAAGCACCTTATGTGAGAACAATTCTTGCAGTAGGAGGCCTCACATATAAATTAAATTCACATTGCACAAATTCATGTGACAGTTCATCACACATATTATTTTACTGCATGTCTCACGGACGCGACGTCGTAACATCCTGGGACGGACGTCACAACACCCTGGTAATGGGATTGTCTCATGTTTGAGGATATTGAAGCAAGCATAAGTTGTGATGAAATTGAAATGTCTCACTTCTAATTATTGGTATACTCTTGAGGGGCAACCACTTTTAAAGGGAAAAACTGACAACACCATTTCTCTGCTTGGTAAATATTCTCCGCAATATGTCATGTTTTGATTACATCATCGTACCTTGCACGTCAGTACAAAAGAATGTTTGTGATTGGCACAGCCGGTGGCAAGGACCAGTTACCCAGAAGTGCATTGGCTGCAGCGTGAACCAGTGCGTCACTGTAGACTGCGTGATACTCCGTCATTACTTCGCATCGATGTAAATGCATTGCTTTCATAGTGGTGAGCAGGGAGTCCAATGAGATTTCTCCTGCAGGATTGGCTATTTCAAATAGAAGTTCTGAGCTGTCCGTAAGCATTTGTAGAAAACTGGGTATTATTGATGAAATGGTACAGGTCTGACCTAACAATAAGCGATACCTCACCTGATCTCACCTCAGTGATGTCCAACAATCAGTAATGCCGCTCATGCCTGCCCATCTGACGTCATTTTTCATTGGCAGCTAGTGATGATGGTCATCATCACGAGACCACCGTCCGTGCGTATCCACTGCTGGCAAGTACTGCTGTTTCTGCTGCTCAGCGCCGTTTCGGGAAGCTCGGCCGGTCCGGCAGCCCCTAAGGAGCACGGGAAGGAGCACGAGCATCAGAGTCGCTGGTCCCAGCTGACCCTCCACCCGGGCAAGAACATATCGTCGGAAAAGCTGCATCCCGATGCCGTGCTGGCCACCTACTGCTACGCCGGCGAGGCGCCCTCCCTGGCGGCAGTCTGGAAGACGCTGTGGCTCAGCCTCAGCATCGACTCCGACCGCTTCGTCGTGTACCGCGGCGACAACGCCACCGACGTGCTCGCCCAGCACAAGGCGACGTCCAGCCAGCTCTTCAACCTGCTACCGTGGCGCACCCGCCACGTGCGCCTGCCGACATTCGCCACAACTTGCGTGGGCGTGGAGACGGTGGAGCGGTACAGCGTGCAGCTGAATGTGCGTCACGTGGATTACTCGCTGGTGCTGCTGCTGGCTGCCGGCCTTGCGCTCTTCCTCTGCGCCGATGCGCTCAGCACTAACGTCGTCTTCCACTACTCCTCGGGCGTGGCGGTCGGCATGTTCGGTGCCATTCTGGTGGCCGTGTACGTGCTGAGCCGCATGATCCCCCGGCGCGGTGGCGCGTGGGCCTTTCTATTCACCGGCTGGTCGTTGACGCTCTACCTGCTGCAGTACGTGCTGGAGAACCTGCGCCAGCACGTAATCCGCTACAAGGCGTATGTGCTTGGGTATTTGGCGGTCTCGGGCCTAATCAGCTTCGCGATCTGCTACTGGAACGGCCCTGTTAAGGACCGGCGCACGCAAACGCTCATCAAGTGGTTCCTACAGCTGGTCGGGCTGGCGTGCGTCTACCTCTCATCCAACCTGCCCGAGGCGTCGATGGCCGTGGTTCTGATGCTGCTCGGCTGGCAGGCGGTCCCCGCTGGCGTGAGCGCGCGCGTGCGCGCAGCGGTCCGACACCGTTTGTACCGGCCGCGGCCGCGCCGCCTGCTCACAGAGCAAGAGTACCTGGAGCAAAGCTCGGCCGCCACGCGCCAGGCGCTCGACGAGCTGCGCCAGTACTGCCGCTCGCCCGACTGCGACGCGTGGCGCACCGTCAGTCGTCTGCGCACGCCTACGCGGTTCGCCGAGTTCGTGGAGGGCTCGTCGCACCTCTCGGACGCTGAGGTGCTCGAGTACGAACTGGAGCCGACCACGTTGCTACCCAGTGACGGCGAGGACTTGTCTGCCGACGAGTGGTGAAATAGAAACAACGCGAGACGCTAGATGTTTGGTGGTGGCTGGAGATCAGTGGTGGCCCTGGAAGATGAGTGGTGATCCTAGAAGACGGTGGTGACGCTGTCGTGCGAGATTGAGAATGGGCCACTTTGTTAATGAGTCGCCTCACCACCAGAGGCCAAAGAGACCTCATCACCCCTGGAATGCTCCACGTATCTGTCGTGTTTCAGGAAGGGGTGGTTGAAACTGATTGTGCGAAACCATGCCGCGGCTGTGTCCGGGTGGGGATAGGGGGGGGGGGGGGGGGAGGCCTGCCTTTCATAAGATATCACACCTTATGAGATGTTAGGTCGTGCCAGACCGTATCCCCTGGGGCGATGAGCGTCGACTAGAGATAGTTTCCAGTGATATGGGCAAAGGGCTGGAAATCGCAGGTACGAGTTTGCGCGATCTCCTCGAGTTGGCGATGCTGGCCATGGTCGTGGCGTTACTTTCACGCCACTCTCTGTGGGGCTGAAAACGGCGTAGTAGCGCTGCGTGATATTGATCGGGAGGAAGAAGCCCTCTTTGGCCACGGTCTAGGGGTGATGTGAGACTTGCCCAGGGAATCCGTGCCGTATGTCGCCTTTTGATAGTACAAAAAGTATTTAGCTGTGGGAAGTGCCGAAGATGGTGACCGTCTTGTCATGGGACCATCCTTCATCATCACATGTGTCATTCATTGGTCTTGCAATAAATTGAAGAGACAAATGTTGCGCAATTTGCTTCGGGTCTTGTACAATATGGCGAAAGTGAGCTACACTTTCGCTTACCGAAGGTCCATCGGCTTGCGGGCATGTGCGCTCCAGGCACCAGGTACGCACTCCCGCCTGAGTGGGCTAACTGTAGGCTCGCGGTGCTGGGACACCAACCGGCACGACATGCCTTAGTTGAGCGCTAGGGTGGAAGGGAAACAACTGCGTTGTCGCAAATTCACTCAGGGTCAAAACTCGTGCGCATTGGTGTGTTCAATGTGACATTGCGAAAATTGACAAAAATTGACACAAAAATTTTAAACGTTTTTTGATAAGATGTGACATTTTTACATCTGCACACTGTTCTGAACAGATGGCGCTGGGATCGAAACCATGACGTATTACCTCCTTGATTAATTTTGTGATGCAATTTGCATTGGTCGGGTTCCCTGACACAATGCCAACAGATGGGGCACCAGACAACAGCACAGGGACCTCCATTCAAATGTGAAATACCTACGCCACACTTAAAAGGGCCCCTGAACGATCGAGTGCACCAGATCAGTTTAACAGATAGGGCAGCCAACAAGAGCGTAGGGCCTTCCATTCAAATAAGAAGCACCCAAGATCCAGTGTAGAGGGACCTCGAAAGATTGTGCGTACCCGAGCAGGTTATCAAATGGTCCCCGACAGGAGCGTGGGGCCTGCATTCAACTACCCAATGTGTAGGGTCCCCCCTCAAGGACCCCCGTGTGATCGAGCCGATTAACAGATGGGGCCTGACAAGTGTATTGGGCCTTCCATTGAAACTGAAAGCTCCCAACACCCTATTTGGAGGGGCCCGAACGGCTGAGCGTGCCCAAATAGACTGTCAGATGGGCCTCCGAAAAGAGCGTAGACCCTAAGCAAATGACAGAGAACTCGAAGGGACCTAGACCGATGTAGAGGGTACATGAGCATATCGCGAGTGTGTCGGTGGGTTAACCGAAATCAACGTTAGGGGTCCGTGAACAACCAAGAATACCCTGGCAGGTTAACACATGGGGTATGGACCTATATCGTATGGGCCTATAGCGTACAGAGCCTTTGGGGCGAATGGGAAGAATCCGTGGAAGGCCCTTACTGACAAGAGCGCCCGACACGGTAGTAGGAATGGCCCCAGCAACAGCCCAGGGCCCTCCGAACAAATGCAAAGAAAGTAAGTGCAGCGTGGAAGGCCCCTTAACAATGGGATTGGCCCTGCAAGTGGGCATATGGGCCCCGGAGCATAGGGTCTCTGGACAGCTTATAGTATCCCAACCACAGCCTTCTCAATCGACGAAGATGAATCATTCTTATCTACTCGTGGGACCTTCACTTTCGCTTGCGACTTTTCTTGGACGCCTGGAAGCCTAAAGACGTCCGATTTCGTTGCGTTTCGTGTTTTAAAAATGCATCTGTTCAGCCGGCTTTTGGCCTCTTTGGAGCGTCTGGTCCCTTCGGGGCCCAACCGGGCAAGATCTCGTGGCCCTCCTCAGGATCTTCCCCTACTTTATGTACCACGGGGCCTCGTTTAGGAGTAGGAAGCCTTTTCATGTATATATTATATTATCTATATTATCATATATATAATATCATACCATATATATTATCATAGTTCAGAATCGGGTTACCCTGCTTTCCTATGATACTGGCACTCTTTGCCGGATTTGGAGGCCCCTTTTTGTATCAGAATGTTTTTGTTCTAGATAAGGGGGGCTGTTTATGCATTAGAAGGTCATTTTCTGGAACAGCAGGCTTTTCTTTGATGTAGGGAGGCGCTATGGTGAATCGAGGAGACCCCTACGGCCGGCCTCGGCTCCAGTGCCAGCGCAGCCGACAATCAGCCAACCGGTTTTGTCCAGTCCCGTCTCATCTGGTCACATCCGGTCTCGCAAGGTTCCTCCGATCCGATCCCATATTGCCTGTTCTCGCCCGGTCCCTTCTGTTGCGATCTGGTCCCTCACAGTCCGCCCGCTTCTGTCCCGCACCGTCCGGTCCCGTCCTGTCCCATCCCATCCTGACGAATTTTCTCCGAGTTGATCTTCATCCCTGTCGATGTTCGAAACCTGCCGATTTTATGTCTTGTGAATTTTCCCCTTTTCGACTGTTATCCCATTCTCTTTTTTGTCCCTAGAAGTCTTCCGATTGGACTGCTACCCCAGCCGACGTAAATCTCTGTCGACTTTTGTCCCTTGCGACTTTTTTGTTCGCCTTTTTCCATCCGACTCTTTGTCCTATAGCTCTTTGTGTGTCCAGGGGCAGGGCCACATACCTTGTGTTGAAGGGCAGAATTTTTGGGGGGCCTCCTGGACAAATGGGGCCTTGGCGCCCGGCTGCAGACACTTCGATGACAAATTCCAGGCCGCCTCTCCGCCGAACACAAGACACCAATCGCACGCGTTCTCCGCCAATCAACAGCCAGAACTAGTACTGGGCCCGATGCAGCCCGCAAATCACATCCCGCAAATTTGAGTCGCCGGCGAACTGGCACCTCCAATCCGCAGTGAGCATCGCTGCCATAGTTTTGCTTTGAATAGTTATCTCGACGCTCCCACGGGCGAGCATGCGTAGCGCTGCGGGATGTTGCCAGGGTCGTGACGGGAGAGTGGCGGGTTCGATTCTCGGTACGGCGGCGGACTTTCGTTTAGGCCCACTTTGCACGCTTGCGTCGGATTTTCTGGAGCAGTTCATAAGCATTTAAGTAAAGTTATGAGGTGTTAATGCCGCGCAAAGCTCAGCCATTATTAATTGCATTATACGGTCAGGTGCCGGTCATGATACGAACCCGCGCGGGCATTCGGCCTTTCCGTCAATATCGTCGGCTCCGGACATACGCTCCTTGTATTTAGCCGGGCCCGAAGCCTAACCGGTATCTACGAGTTGTCCGGATGTGATGTGAACCACGTCGCGTAGAAGAGCCTACCTCGAAACAAAAATAACCGGACTTCAACCACCTTGTATCGGGTGGCTTGGTGTTCTTCGTTTTACCTGCATGTGTCTCAAGGTGCAACTGAAATAGAGAACGCAATTCTACCGGTATGTATATGATAGTGCATGCCACATATCTGCACCAATACAAGTCAGCGGCATTGTTATCTCCGCCTGGTCCTCTAATTGTTGGCACGTGGCCGCTGTGGCCTCCCCTCCCCCCGCACCAACCTTCACCACTGATTGAGTCAGGGGCGGATCCAGAGAGAGTGGTCACGGGGCCCATGACCCATCGTGGTACCCCGAAGTGGCCCATAGGCTCCGAGGGGGCCCGTAGGTGACCAAAAAGGTACAGTTTTTTAAAGCAAAACACAAAAAAAAATCTTTGGATTTCCAGGCCACCGAGAAGAGTTGCAAACGAAAGTGAATGGCCTACGAGAAAAGATAAAAATCTTCAATAATGGAAAAAGTTGTTTATTGGAAATTATAAGCGTTATCACGCTGCCCAGAGTCCTATCCTGTTTCCGGGGACCTATATGCCCACTTGCAAGGTCATTTCGATCGTTAAGGAGCCTTCCACGTTAGCCCTGACTGCTTTGCGTTTGCTCGGAGGGCCCTGCACTGTTGCTGTGCTGTTCCTGCTAGCGTGCCGGGGCGCTGATGTCAATCAGAGGCCTTCTACGGATTCTTTCCAGTCGCCAGAAAGGCTCTGTGGGCTATAGCAGGGGACCCCTATGTTAACTTGATCGGGTATTCTCGGTGGCTCGGGGGCGCTTTAAGTTGGTTTCGGTTCACCTGCCGACACACTTGCGATATGCTCATGGGCCCTCTGCATTGGTCTAGGGCGCTTCCAATTTTATGTCACTTGCTTAGGGCGCTATGCTCTTGTCGGGGGCTCATCTGTTAACCTGCTTATGCACACTCTTTCGGTCGGGGCCCTCGAAACTGGGTCCAGGGTGCTTTCCATTTGAATGAAGGGCCCTGGACACTTGTCGGGGCCCCATCTGTTAATCTGCTCCGGCACACTGAATTGTTTAGGGGCCCGGCACATTGGGTATTTTAATGTAGGGATCTACGCTCTTGTCAATGCCATCTGATAGCCTGCTCGGATACACTCGATCTCTCGGAGGCCCTCTACATTGGGCCTTGGGAAGCCCTATTTGAATGGAGGCCCTACGCACTTGTCTGGGGTCCCCTCTGTCAACTTCTTTGGCCAAAGTGGATTGTCCGGGAGCCCTGCACATTGAGTCTTGGCGTTTGAATTTAGGGCTCTGCGCTCATATTGGGGTCATCTGATAGCCTGCTCGGGTACACTCCATCTTTTGGGGGCCTTCCGCACTGGGTTTTGGGCACTCGTTACTTCAATGGACGGACCTACGCTCTATGCTTTTGTTGCGGCCCCTTCTGATAAGCTGCTCCGGTGCATCCGATTGTTGGGTGACCTCTACGTCGGGTCCTGGATACCTGCTTTTTGAGAGGAGGTCCTCACGGGGCCCTATCTGTTAACATTGTCAGGCACCCTCGATCGGCACCCTCGATTCGGAGCCCTCTACAACATGCCGTGGGTATTTCACATTTGAATGGATGGCCCTACACTTTTGTCGGCGGCCCCATCTGTTCACCACCTTTGAATTTCGGGCGCTGCACTCCTGTCCGGGGCCGTCTGGTAATCTGCTAGGGTACACTCCATATTTCGGGGGCCCTCTGCACAGGGTTTGGATACTTCTTATTTGAATGGAGGGCCTAACGCTCTTTTCGGGCCTCTTCTGATAAGCTGTTGAGGTGCATTTCATCGTTCGGGGGCCATCTGCATTGGGTATTGAGTGGTTCCTATTTGAATGGAGGGCGCTGCGCTCTTGTTAGAAGCCCTATCTGTTAAGACGCTCGGACACACTTTATCTTTCGGGGCCCCTCTTTATTGGGTCTTGTGGACTTTCTATTTGAATGGAGGTCGCTGGGCTCTTGACGGGGGCCCGATGTAATAACCTGCCCGGGAACTGGCCACGCGTTCATGTCGCCGCCCCCCCCCCCTCCCCCCCCCCATCTGTTACCTCCTCGGGCACACTCGATAAGGAGCTAAATAACTATCTAGTTAAATGTATTGTCTCGAAGCCTAAGTGCCCGGGGTGCGATGGGTGTCATATATGCATGCATGGGCTTTAAGGGGTTTGCACGTGAAGAAATATGGTTTACGAATTCAAGCGTAAACTGCGCGAAAAACATGGGAAGTACGTGGGCTATGTTGAGAAATCCATGAGTCCTACTCGTTTCATTTGTGATGAACACCTGCGAGATGCTCAAAACGAAACAGATAATTAAAAGAACTCTTCGGCGACCATCTTTTTGACAGAACACGCTAAGGTTAAAATCCAAGGAAGTACGGACCATTTCCCTTTAGAGCTCAAAGGTATTTTCAAAGTACGGGACCATCCAGACCGGAAAAATGGTGAGTCTATTTTGATAGGAGGTTAGCGACCAGACTTCAGTGTACAGGGCTCGTCATAAACGATTGTTTGAATGTGACCAGTGTCTTGATTTGTTATGCATGCTGGCTTAAATTCGCCTTCATGCATCAGTGTTGTCTGACGCTTGATACACAATGTATGTTTAATTGAAATCGTTTGCGTGTAAAAGTGATGCGTGATGCGACGTGCCTGTTAACTTGAAATCGCTTGCAGAAGTAAATGATGTGTTATGCGTGACGCCTGTTAACTTGAATTAATTTGCATATACGGGTATTTTTCGCGCATTTTAATTCTCAGTTAGATGTTCACTGTATCGCAAAATGACTGGCAATTGCTCCTTGTTTAATCCCCTGCATGTTGGTGGTCTGTAAAAACTATGGCTAGCTGTTTTTGTGTCAGGAAAAAACTCAAACGTCGAGTAAAATCGGCAGAGAAACTTGATTTTGAAAATCTTTTCGATAAACGCGTGTAGCCGAAATATCACATTTACCTTTCCATTTTCCTCTTTCTTCTTTGAGAAATAAAGTGATTAATGTTGTTTTATCTATACGCATAATGTTCCTCACAAATGCACTTCACAATTTGCGAAGCGCTGCCATGATGTCGATAATGATGGCGGCATGCCTTCTACATAGCAGTTTAAACGCAATATCAAGATGTTGTCCGGCCACTAAGGTCAGTCTGCGCAGGAAGCCTCCTGGGCAGTGTGGTATTCAAGGGAGGGACACTGAGGGCGTGTACTTCTTTATTCAGCTGTTACATGTATCATATTCATGCCAATAAATATCGATAATTTTAAAAGTAAGAGTGGGAGGTCTTCTAATACATTACACCGTAAACGACCTCGGTAACCTAAAACAGAGCCTCCTGTTGCAGCGGAGGGCCTACTGATGCATGGAAGGTCTCCTAATCCAGAACAGGATGACCTCCATTCATGAAGGAGGTCTCAAAATCTAGCCATGGGGCCTCGTTGTTTGTGGTCCTGCGCCCCTGCTGGGGCGGGAGTGCGGCGGGGTCGCGCCGCCGCCGCGGTGGCGGGTGTCGGGTTCGCGGGCCGACCACGGCTCGCGGCCCCCGCGGTCGGCAGTCGCCGTGAGGAGCTGCTGTGGAATGTGATGAGCTGCCAAAATGCAGAGAAGCTTTGGTGACATACGGCGTCGCTTTACAGGCTATTTCGACAAGTGGCGACCGGATTTCATGTGAGACTGATACCAGAGTTCAGCGGTACGAGTGATGCAGATGTGGTGGACTGGCTTGAGAAAGTGGAGCTGATTTGTGGACTGCAAGAGCCTCCAGCGTGCGGGGCGTCAGTGATTACTCTGCGGCTGACGGGCGGCGCCTCAGCCTTGTACAGGCAGCTCCCAACTGAGGACCGGCAGGACGCGAAGAAGGTCAAGGACGCCCTGAGGACGGCATTCGTTGTCGACAAGTTCGTGGCCTACGAGCTGTTCACCGCGCGCCGGCTAAGGGCAGGTGGGACGGGTGACGTCTACCTGGCCGATCTGCAGCGGTTGGCGTCGGTGTTCGGCGGCCTCAGCGACGAGGGTGTGAGTTGTGCCTTTGTTGCTGGGCTGCCCGACACTACCAGGCACACGCTGCGCGCCGGTGCTCGCCTCGAAGGCCTGCCGTTGCCGAACCCGGTGGAGAGGGCGCGGGCCGTCCTCAGGGAGGACGGCGCAGCAGAGGTCGCGGCAGCGGCAGTTCAGCGAGGGCGACCGACAGCAACAAGCTTTACCTGTTTCACCTGTGGACAGACCAACCACCTGGCCAGGGACTGTCTCAGCGGTCTGGGTCGATGCCGTGGGCGTGGACGACGCGGTGCTGATGGACGCCAGGGAGGAGGAAGACGCTGCTTCCGGTGTGACCGGATGGGTCACGTGGCCGCATGCTGTTTGGGAAACGACGCCAGAGAGGCGGCGTCAGCGCCAGCCTCCTCTCCAGCTCTGCAGTAGACGGCGCTCTACTCACCGCTCGGCTGATAGTGGACGGCACCCGGTGTCAGGCGCTGGTGGACACCGGCTGCTCTGTGTCCATTGCTGACATCTCTGTTTGCCACCGCTGGAGAAGGCAGCCAGTTAATGTGATGACCCTGGGTAGAGACAGATACACGTGCGAGGGTACCGGACAAGTGACTGTGAATACAGTGTCGGGTGCGGCCCGAATAGAGATGCCTGTAACTGTCAGTAGCCCGCTGAAATTCGGGTTCATTCTGGGAATGAACGGCGTGAGGGCGCTTCGCGGCGTGTCCGTCAGTGCGTCGAATGCAGTGCAGTTCGGGGTCGATGCACTGCCGGCTGGGTAGGCGTCTCCGGTGGAGGCAGCGGCTTGTGATGCGAGCGCAGCCGCCGCCATGTCACCCGAGCCGGCCGGCCGTGGCTGGGGGCAGAGAGTGGCGAGTGATGTGGGCGCGGCGGGCGCCGTGTCACCCGAGCCGGCCGGCCGTGGCTGAGGGCAGAGGGCGGCAAGTGACGTGGGCGCGGCGGGCGCCGTGTCACCCGAGCCGGCCGGCCGTGGCTGGGGGCAGAGAGTGGCGCGTGACGTGGGCGCGGCGGGCGCCGTGTCACCCGAGCTGGCCGGCCGTGGCTGGGGGCAGAGAGTGGCGAGTGACGTGGGCGCGACGGGCGCCGTGTCACCCGAGCCAGCCGGCCGTGGCTGAGGGCAGAGGGCGGCGAGTGACGTGGGCGCGGCGGGCGCCGTGTCACCCAAGCCGACCGGCCGTGGCTGAGGGCAGAGAGTGGCGAGTGACGTGGGCGCGGCGGGCGCCGTGTCACCCGAGCCAGCTAGCCGGGACGGGGGGCAGAGGTCAGCGCTGCGCGTCTCTGACTCGAATGACACTGGTATGCCGAGGCCAGACAGCGACGGCGATGTCAGATCGCCGTCACCGCCACCATCGCTGCACGGAGCAGCCACTTCACATCAGTCATCTCGTCTGTCAGTAGATGCACCGGACTACGCGGTCCACTTCGATCCGCAGACAAGAACATAGAGTATGCATTGGAAATGGAGTAACTCTGTAGGACCTGAATGTTTGACAGACCAAATGCCGCAGTATGACTTGCCAGAGAACACCCGCCGTGAGTTCAACGAAGAGCTGTCGTGATGGATCGATAATGGATGGCTAGTGCCAGATGATGAGGAGCAACACGGACCTGTGATTTGTGAAAGGATTGTTACCGTTAATGGTGGTCTAACAGAAAGACAAGGACAAAGTGAGACCAGTGTTGGACTATCGCGAGTAGCATAGTCATGTAACCGCGCACACAGCAGAGGCAGACGTGTGTGCCGATCAGCTAAGGGGATGGCGTCGGCACGGAGAGAATATCGCGGTTGTAGATCTGCACAATGCATAGCTGCAGGTGGATGTCGACCAGCATCTGTGGGCCTTCAAAACTGTGCAGATTCACGGCCATCGATACTGCCTGACACGGCTTGGCTTTGGGCTGAACGAGGCCCCTCTGGTGATGAGGGCAGTGGTCCGAACATTTCTTGAACAAAACCCAGACGTGGAGCGGGCCGCTCTGGCCTACGTGGACGACATCCTGGTGAACGAAGACATCATGAGCGCTGATGACGTCGTGGCCCACCTGGCAAATTACGGGCTGCAAAGTAAGCCGCCTGAGCGAGCAGCGGCTGGTGGTCGCCTGCTTGGCCTGCATGTCTCACGGGAGCAGGGAAGAATGCTGTGGAAGCGCGACAACCCGGTCGGCCCACCGCCGACAGTACTGACGCGCCGTGCAGTATTTTCCTGGTGCGGCCGCTTGGTGGCTCACCTGCCGGTATGCGGCTGGCTCCGCCCCGCCACAGCGTGGCTGGAGCGTCGTGTGAACGCCGTCACGCATGGCTGGAACGACAGAACAGATGATGAAACACTGCGAGAACAACTGAGCCATGTCGCGACCCGGCTGACCCAGGATGACCCGGCACGCGGCACCTGGGGCGTGCGAGGTGACCGTGCCGTGGTTTGGACAGATGCCAGCTCAGTGGCAGCAGGAGTTATGCTGACCACTCCCGAGGGTTATGTCATTGAGGAGGGGTGCTGGCTGCGGAAGGACGACTGCACGCACATCAACATGGCAGAACTAGACGCGGCACTGCGAGGAATTAATCCGGCCATTGCGTGGCACATGCAGGTCGTCGATCTCCGAACAGACTCAGCAACTGTTCACCGCTGGATAGATGACGCCCTAAGTGGCAGAGCGGGTCCGTATCATACTTTCCAAGGTTCAGAATGTCCAAAGGTACAGAATGTCCAAAGTACAGAATGTCCAAGGTACAGAATGTCCAAAGTTCATAATGTCCAAGCTACACAATGTCTAAGATGAGAAATAGCTTCCAAAATGGCGCAGAGTGGAAGGGGACCGTTTATTAATGCCCAATGTACAGAATGTCCAAGGTACAGAATGTCCAAAGTACTGAATGTCCAATGTACGTATTGTCCAAGGTACAGAATGTCCAAAGACCAAAGCTTCCAAACTAGTTCCCACAGCGGCCGCCAAGGTATGGATGATCGCCGTTATTGGCAGGCAGCGTTGCCCCGCCCAGCGCCGGCCGCGCGCATACAGTCGACTCCATTACGAAGACCACGCGCGTGAGGCTGGGCGGCCGGACCACTAGCTTAGCAACAGATCCATGTCCGCTCCACGACGCAATGGAGCCGGCTGGAGGCGCCGCGCCGAGCATTAGTCGCTGATTGTCAAAGCTGAGCCCGGTAAGGTTTCCCTGCATTTTGGGCTGCTAAAAAACATTGAAAGCAGGCGGAATATGAAATGGAATTATAGCCGCGCTATGCCCGAAAATATAATTGTCGAAATCGACACCAGCAGTGGGCAGTTCTGGGTGTCGATCTTGACGGCTGGATTGTCAGTATAATGCAGACATCATATGTTCGGGTTAATAAGTTCAGACAATTTCAAATAACAAATAAGTTCGAGTTAATAATTGCTTTCGGCATCACATACTAGCATTGTGGTTGCTATGGGATGGGTTTTCAGCAATAGCACGCTAACATCAAAAACGTATCGTGGTCAGTAGTGAATATCGCTGAATGAGGGTGAATATTCTTCAATACGGTATTATAGAAACACCCCATATCCAGCCCGTGCGGAAAGCTGATCGAAACATAGACGGCTAAATTTGAAGTCATAGATGACCAGTACCAATAATTAGGTCAAGGTGTTCAAGATAATGACTAAAGCATCATTTCTAGATGTACTTCACATGGAAAACGCTGCTTATGTGACGTCCCAAGATGAGGCATGCTTACTTGCCTCGAACGAAGTTGACGATTGCGGGTAACAATTTAAATATATGCATACTTGTCTCCTGGCGTTAAAATGCCTTCCTTACGACTAGCGTTTCTTGTGCAATGCTACATCTATCAAACTACGCACGCGATACGATTACTTAATTCGACATTAGGTATACTGAAGGTGTTTACCTGTCATGATTTTCTCGCAACCATGCCAGACGTGAGGAACTTTTACCCCCAACGGAACACTAGGGTTTCCTGGAGCGCTTAATTAGAATGAAATGAGGATGAGGACTGCTAGTGATGCTACCTTAGGGTCGTGCATATTGTTTGCGTGGGTTCCGTATTTATTATTACATATATACATATAAAATGTATATATGTATATGGATGTATATAAAGGCACCTTTATGTATAAAATAAATCATTTAAGTATTGGAACCCATGTTATGCTGCGCAGCCCTTAGAAAACGAGGGCTAAAAAGAGCAAAAAAAGCTAAAAGCTAGCACTACTTTGGCTTTAAAACTATGGATGTAATGTACATATCCCTTTTATCTTAAAATTTAATGGCAGAATTTGTTTGGAGGAAACCCCAAACTCTAGGGGGCACCACACTGTTGCGTGTCCCCCCCCCCCTTCACAACATACTGGACCCGCCTCTGTGTGCAGTCATTCCACTGTGCAGTGGTAGCGCGGTATATCCCTGTTCTCACATTACGTCATATATGAAGACGTGCTCCACATACGAAGAAAGCGTTTATTTCACCTTTTTACGGCTTCTTTTTGGACGTGATGAGGAATTACATCGAGGAGGCGCAACACAAGCGGCACTGGACACCCGTTCAACGGGTATATAATGTCATGGAAAACGAGGAGCAATTTCCATTTAATTTAAGTTCAAACACATTATGCTCACACGACTGAAAGCCAGAAGAAACGCGCAACGCTCTTAATATTTGAGATTTCATGGCTGGTTGTTGTTTAGTCATGGGCGTGCCGACGCGAAGTGTAGTATAATCGGGGCGCTATGGGATTGGAGCGTATTGCTATTGTTTAGGTCCCATCTAGCAGTACTACAAATAAGGTGTTGAGGAAGCAATCAACTTTATTGAGCGCTCTGTACCGAAATGGCAAACATGTTGGCATAGCGCTCCTAAGTTTAGCAAAGAAATCTAACCAGTCAGTCTCCTAGGCTCTGACGTAACAAATTTTGTCAATTTACCTGGTGTACAGCCTTGATTTAACCCCCATTTCGAAAGAGAGATAAATGGAAACAAATACTAGAGCTAGGGGAGGTG